CCTTCGGCGTGTGCAAGCCCCTCACCTGTGCCTGCTGCAGCATCAGAACAGAGGAAGATGCAGCTGTTATCCCTGAAATCACCACTGGGCTTTCATAACTTTTAGCCAACACCTTATAAGGCTGCTTCTTAATGTTCAATGAGTTAGCAAAGAAGGTAGCCTTCTACTTCCTTTTATTATATTAACTTCATATAATTGAGGATCAAAAAAATCTAAAATTCAATTGTTCTGAAGAAAGAATTTATTCTGAGCAATTTACTTCAGACAACATAAATAATTTTATAAGCGACACAACTTCTTCTAGAAGAATATATATATATAACTAAGAGGTTAATTTGATTCAAATCTGCATGCGTTGGAGGGTTTTGCTGTCACTGACATTCAGCTGCACACACATACATGCACACACTAACATGTACATGCAAACAGACACCAGCACACACATACATACACATTCACATGCTTTCATCACTTTCCTATCATGGGACAGAGTTACTCATAGGAGGAGAGGTTTATCTTGGTTCACATTTCAGAGGGTTCAGTCCATGCATAGTCATAGGCTCAAAGGAAGAATGGCACGATCGAGGAAAGCTGCTCACCCTATAGAAGTCAGGAAGGAGAGAGAGAAGCTGAGGACAGAACATACCCTTCAGTGGTATTCCCCGTGATCCACCTCTTCAAACCAGTGCCTGATGCCTATGAGCCGTCAGCTGTGAATTCATCAGTGGATCAGTGGATTAATCCACTGGTGAGAAGTGTCCCCATGATCATGGTGCAAAAGCCTTTTCTGTGAAGATGTGGGGGAGTGGCTGGACCTCAGCTGAGCCTAAGGTCAGCAAACTCTGAGACTAGTGCAAAGCCAGTCCCAAAGACACAGAATGCTGGATGCAGACTACATAATGTTGACCTCCTGCTCAGTTACATATCAACAGGTGTCTGGCCTTAGTGTTTTGGTTTTTTTGTCTAGTTAACTATAGTACAGATAGCTTTAAAAATGTTTTGCTTTGAGTTCTCGACAAACACTGAGACCCTGCACTTTGGATTCCACTGTGTACTTTCTCCTTTTCTTACTTTATATAAATAAAGACCCTGGTTGAGACATAGTCACTGCCTCTCCATCAGAGAGGTCAGGTCCCACCCAGTCCCAGCTTTCCTTTTCTGTGTCTTGTTTCTTTTTAACCTCACATCACCCCCTCTCAGGATTCCACTCCCTGCGCAGGTCACGGCAGATGGCACCCAACATGGGCCTGAGCACAGGGAAACTCAGCACTCCGGTAGTGCATGCAGTTAAGATTAAGGCACTGAATAATTGCTAGGTGTAAAACTATGGGGAATTTAGGATCTAAGGATGTTCTTTGTATATTAAAATGCTTAAAGCTTTGCTTAAGGTTAGAGAGACATCTATTAAGACTGCACAGCTCGCTAAACTTTCTGAGTTTGTTCAAGAGACTTGTCTGTGGTTCCTACAAGAAGAGATTGTAAATTTACACACTTAGGAAAAGTGGAAAAACAACTAAGAGCAAGGTATACTGCCAAGGGGCCAGATAAGATCCCTCCTTACTTTTCCACGTGGACTCTCATGCGAGAGTGTTTAAATCTACGCCTGCTACAGCAGGTCCGAAAATCACGGAGCTTTTGTGTCATACAGTGCAGGGGTGTGAGTCACTGAAATCATCTGAGCTCTCTGCACCTCTGCCTAAAGACAGGACGAGCCTGACTCATGGCTCTGGGTACACTCAGGAGGAATGTGACACTTCTGGCTTGGAGTTTAAAGAAGAGGATGAAGCAGAAGGGTCTACTGTGCCATAAATGACTATGCTTACATTAGCTAAAGCAGCTGCAACAAAATCAAAAGTAAAAGTAGGTCACTGCACAAGGCAATAAAAAAATGTTAAAGGCATGTTAGGCACTGGAGCTATGTTTTGCTCATTTCTAAAAATTACTGGCCTTCTGCCTGACCTATTGATACTGCCAGTGTGGACCTACAGGGAGTAGGTCAAATAAATTGCCCTTACAAAAGTGCTTGGATCCTGAGGTAAAAGGATAAAAAGAAAAAGAACAACTTGCTACTTTACACTTTATATTTTAAAACTTCTCCTCCTTTTCTATAGCAAACCAACACAAATCTATCTAGACTTTTAGAGACTTTTAAAGGATTATTTAACAAAAAAAAAAAAACCCACTGCTTTGCAGCAGGAGGCAGGAACCAAAGAGTTACACCGCAGAGCCTGGAGCCTGGCACAGCCAAGGAGGTGGGCAGGTCTCGGCTTGAAGACACAAAGTTTTGGGAAGACATTGTAGATCTAACCCACGACAGCATCCCCACCTTGTCTCCCAAATAAAATTCTTCATCCCAGGAGAATGGTTCCATATTTCCATTGCATTTTGCACTGGATTTAGCCCATATTTATTTTCAAAGAATACAAGTTAACACAAAATGTTTATATAATTTTATAGGTTGTATGCCTAAACGTACTAGCTATTGCACTGTATTCAAATAACTTAAATCTTGTTTTCCAAACTGAAGTCTGGGTGATGCCGCTCCTTACCTCAGAGAGTTATGGTGCCACCCGAAGCTCAGGACCCTGAGGACAGACACTGAAAGGTGCATGGTGGAAAAACGGGCTCAACCCCATCACACTCTGCGTGAAATGAAACAAGGTGACGACTGTTCCCACAGAAAGGTGGAATGATCTCACGGCAGACTCTGGGATTTCCTTTCTGGAAAGAATAGCTTACTTCGTTTCCCACTTGGCTTTTATTGATACAATTTCAGTGTTTTGTGAACCCTACTAACTCCTTTCAGGGAAATAATAAATAGAATGTAGCAGAATCACTGCTGATACTCAGTTTGCATCAAAAGAAACCAAGACCAACTGATCCTAACACTGAGGCCTGAAGACACACAAGCCAGACACAGACTCTCTGCCTCCAACTGCAGGCCCCAAGACTCCCCCACGTCCTGGACCTGGACAGTAGAGCAGGGGCTCCTACTTTTCAAACTCATTTACATTGTGGCCTTTTGGTGGAAGAATAGAAGCTACGGAAAAGCATCCTAATCTTCAGGGCCTGCATGGAATGTTCTCTTACAGTTTTCTATTTCATTCTAGCTTCTTTCATTTTATAGAAAGAAAATGTTAGTTATTTGACTGCATGGCCCATCAAGGGGTCTCACAGCAGCCTGACCAGAAAACACTGAGTGTGGGACATAGGTAAGGCTCCACTGATGTGCTTCAAACACCAGAAAAGGAGAACTTCAGCTGTGATTTTAGTGAAATCATCCAGCCAGAGGCTGCAATCCTGCTCAAAAGAGGAGTGAATTCTAAAACAACTTTTAAAAATGACTCAGCCTCCGCCAACTTTGCCAGCACTCCCAGTCTACAGACCCCCATCTTGTGCCAACAGAAGGGCCAGCTGAAGACCAGAGCCAGCAAACTGCAGAGAGAACAGCAGAAGAGGCAGGGATGGGCCCATCACTCCGTCTCTGGGCTTCAGGTCAGAGCAATTCCAAGCCCAGAGCCAGGAGCCAGGAGCCAGCTACCTGAGAGCCAGGCACTGCTCCCGGGCTCCCAAACCCTTCCAGTGCACAGAAGCGTGGAGCTACATAGCAAGAACAGACCACCATCAGCACTCATTAGCAAGCATTTTACAGCCTAACACTTCATCACAGTGTTGGTGGCGCGGTAAATCACACGAATTCACAATTAGACTGAAGATCCTTAGTTCCACGGACAGAATGTATCCAGGAATATCACTTTCTAAAGGGAGATGAACAGCCTTTTACAAGCTTATGTAAAATTGGCATGTTATAGATATACTCTCCAAGTCTTGGTTTTACGAAATATAGAGATACATTTGCCCTCATATTGATAAAAGTGAGATATGTAAAGTATGTGACAAAGCACTTAGAACACAGTGCAGACCTAGGCTGTGGGAATTAGTTCATGTCGCTGCAGAAACTGCCTCCCCCACCAGCCAGGATACTTCAGTTTGTTAGTTGCCCAGTAACAGTTCTAGTTCCGGTTGCTCCTGTCTCTTAGAAATGGCTGGTCACTGTGATGCACACTGACAAGCCATGTTGCCTCTGTACTTCCTGCTTGCTTACCTCACATTGACAGAAAAAGCTGTACTAGGAAATATTTTTCTTTTTAAAACTTTGTTGTGTTGAAGCTGCTGAGCTCTGTAAAGTTTTATAGCCCTGTAATTGCTTTCTTAACCCCTGTAAGCACCAGAGCACAACCAAACATACAAGCTGTCTGGTTGTAAGTGATGGTTGTTACTCTAACACTGTAACCAAAGATCTCACCCCGCTAGCTAGTCAGAAGAACTGCCAGGCTGCCTGTCCCGCCTTTGTAAACCCCGCTGATGCCTCATAAAGTTGCTGGCTAACAGATACTTGCTGCCCGGCTTTTGCTGGTTTATCCCAGCCAGGACCACCGGTTACCTCCTCAGGTGTTGATCCTTTCCCAGACACAGTTTTGCTGCAACAATATAGGCCCTAGAGCGCCAGTGATCGGGGCCTGATACTCCGGGAATGGTACTAATCATTGCCGTCTGTGTAAATAAATCTGCCTCCAAATCCTGGGGGTCGCCTCGGTGTTTCTGTGGTCTTAATTAAACTGGCCCATTTCTCAATACTGGGCGGTGTATAAAGTACCACACCAGCAGTTAAAAGGAGGCTCAAAGAAACACAGCAGCGCTCTCCATTGTTGGCTGTCGTTCTTGGTCATGACACCAGAACTGCCGGCCACACACAATGGGACAAAGGTCACAACGTCTGCAGGGCTCCACGTGCATTCCTAAAACTTGTAAATACAGCAGCAAACCCTGACCTACATAGTTCACTTCCAGGACGTAAACTTAGCAACAAACGAAGCCCACATCTTCACCCAACAAGCACAATAGAGGACTATTTTCTCTTTGCTAAGGTTTTTGCTAAAACATGGCTTTAAAATTTCTAACCCCTAGAAAAGTGCATAGTAGAAGATCAGTAAATATACGTGACAGAACAACCCAAAGATCAAAGAGGTGAGCAGCACCACATCTAGATCGCGATCTGGCCTCGCACTGTTGGTATTTTGGGGCAAGCAGCGCGTTCCTGTGAGCGCTGTCCGGTGCGTCGGAGGACGTAAAGTAGCCTTTCTAACTTCCGCCCCCGCAAGACGGATGTTGCCTAGGAGAGCAAAATCACCCCAGCTTGCTGTAAACAGAGGGCTCCAACAGGGGATGCAATTAACAGCCCAGTGATCAGCGCACACCTCCAGCCGAGGACACCAGCTGGCGCGCGTGGAGTCCGGGGCGTCCTGACACTCGGAGCGGCACCTCGGCAGCGCCCGGGAGAGGGCCCCAGGGCATGCAGGCGCTCCGGCTCCACCCAGACCCAGCTGCCGGGCAGCAGCGGGACGGAGGAAGGGTGTCCTGGCCACGAGAGACTCCAGGCGTCCGGAGTTCAGGGCGAGCTGCCCCCGCCGCAGGCTGCTGCCCCGGGGCCGCAGGCCACGCTCGGGTCCACGCGGGGCCCGCGGCTGCCTCGGCGCGCGCTCGCTGGCGCCCCCTTCCGGAAGAGCCCGCTTAGCCCACCGGGCCCGTACGGCGCAGTCGGGTGGACTGCAGGACCGGCTCCGACCCGCTGCGATCGGCAGACCCCCGGGCCTCCGCCCCACTCCTGCTCCGCCGGGACAGCCGCCTGGGCCCGCGAGCCGGAGTGGGGAGTCTCCCTGCGCGCCGGGAGGGCTCCGCGAACGCAGCCGGCCCGCTCCTCCCTCGGAACCGACCGTCCAGGTCCCACAAGGGTCTGGCAGCGCGGGAAACCTTAGCTGCCCACAGCACAGCAGGGCCCCGACGGACGGTGCGCTTCTCCCCTGGTCCCGCTGGGTCCGCGGTCTCGGTCCGGCCCGGCCAGGCGCCGCCTGGCGAACCCCGGCTCCAGAGCAGTCCGCAGGGCGAGGCCCGCTTCCTGAGCGCCTTTCAAGTTTCGGCAGAATTACTTTTGAAAATCACCAATCCTTTTATTCAGTGTACTAAAGCCTCGCGTAAGGGGTATATCTTCCCTGTGTGGGCTAATATTCAGCATTTATGCGACGTTCAATGTTACATGATGGAAATGCATTATATGTTTTCATAAAGAGGACACAGCATATCAAAGAAGAAAAAGTGGCCTGTTTTCAAATGTGGGAAGAGTCTGCACAGTTTAAACACACACCAACAGGACTGAGGTCAGCCAGGTGTGGTGGCGAGCGCCTGTAATCCCAGCACTCTAGAGGCTGAGACAGGAGGGTCACAGGTGTGAGCCCAGCCTGAGCAAGTTAGAGACCTAGTAAGAACCTATCATCTCAAACTTTAAAACGGGCTGAGAATGTGGCTCAGTGGGAGGGTCCTAGGTCCAACCCTGGTGCCAAATATATTGAAATTGCTCATTACCTCAGTTTCACTCTCCCTGTGTCAGTTGCAGAACACCTTCATTGCTTGCAAATTTTGGCAGTCATGTAACGCGGCTATAAGCACTGCAGGATTTCACGTGGACATGGGTTTCAGCTCCTTTAACACCTGCCTGAGCGGCTGAGCTGGAGATCATTCACACGTGCAGAGTGCCCGGGGCGAACATGTGTTCCAGACCTGAAAAGAACAAGAACAGGAGAGGCGAGCTAGTTGTAGGAAAGGGGTTTCTCCTGACATCAGCTTGTTAAAAGTATAAATAAACTCACTGCAGTGGTTGACCAGTTCCTTTTCCTCCCATCAGGAGAGAGGGCTCCACCTGACCGCAGCTTTCTGTACACTGTGTATGTCTTTATTTCTACATCCTCTGGCTGTTCCGCCGCCCCGGAACTTCGAGAGCTGCTCGGCACACAGCAAGAGGATTTCTGCACCATATCGTAACTGTGTGTTTAATTTGGTAAGAAACTTCCAAGCTGGACCTTTTTCATTCCCAGCAGCACGGAATGACTCACCTGTTGCTGCACTTCCTCGCCGGCGCTCTGTGACGTCCGCGCTCTGGGTCGCATCAGTCTAGTGGATACACAGTGCTGTCAGGATGACGTTTTTACCTACATTTCCCTAGATGATTGTCTTGGTTACTTTTCTCTCGTTGCTGAGACAAAATACCTGACGCCAAAAATTAAGGAAGGAAAGGTTTATTTAGCTCACAGCTTGTGGAGGTTTCAGTCCATACTTGGTTGTCTCCAAGGCAGGGTTGCACATGGCAGAGACAACCTTTAATGGTGGCAGAAGACAGCAAAAGCAGCCAGAGCAGAAGGGAGGAGGCAGCAGCAAGCAGCCTCTTTCCCTACCTTACATATGCAATTACCCACCCCAGGGAGGGTGTAGCTCTCACACCCATAATCCCAGCATTGGACCATGGATCAGTCGTCAACTCTAACAGCCTGCCGCGGGACTGCATGAGGCTTTGTGGGGACGTCCAGACACAAGCCATAACAGTGATGAAGGATCACCAACTCGTGTGTGCCTCTCTCCTTTGGTAGCATATCTGTTCGATTATTTTGCACATTTAGAATTGGGTTGTTTTCTTATTGTTGAGTTTGGAGAATTCTTTGTTTATGTTATGTGCAATAAAAAGTAGATACAGTTTGTCCTCTTTATCAGATGTTTCATGAAGATTTTCTCCTAGTCACTGCCTGTATTTTCATTCTTTAAAGTTTCATTCACAAAGCAAATGTTGGAATTTTAATGAAGTCCGACTTCTCAATTTTTCTTTCATGTTGTTTTTAGTATTGTATAACAAAGTCATTACCAGAGTCATACATCTTCAGTTATCTCCTGGGCATTTTATAGTTTTACAGTTTGCATTTTTACCTCTCATTCATGTTGAGTCAGTTTGTGTAAGTCTTTTATTTTTTTGCATGTGGATGTTAAGTTGCTCTCCCAATGTTTGTTGAAAAGATTATTGTTATCTATTGATTGCTTTTGTCCTTCGTCAAAAGTCTGTGGAGGTCTGCATCCAGGCCCCCTGCAGTGACCCGCTAGTCAGTTTCCCAGTTCTTCACCTCTAATACCAAGCTGTCTTCACGACTGCAGCTCTAAGTCCAATCAGGTCCATTCACTTTTGTCTTTATGAGCAGGAAAATTTATTGAGAGAGGTCGTTCCTGAGAGAGAGGAGGGAACCCAAAAGTGGGTTGACCTAATCATGTTAGTTCTTCAACTGTGTTTTCCTCCTTCAGTATTCTGTTTGCTATTCTGGGTATTTCACCTTTCCATGTAGACTTTAGAGTCAATCTATCAATATACACAAAATAACTGGTGAAGACTTTTATTGGGATTACACTGAATCTTGACATAATGACTCTTTCTATGTTTATGTATGGGATATCTTTTCATTTATTTAGATCTTTGACATCTCTCATGAGAATTTTCCCCATACAGATTTTGGACATATTTTGGCAGATTTCTGTCACTTAGTTTTGGTGCTGGTAGCAGTCATTGCTTACTACAGTCAGATGTAGAATGATGCACATGTCTGTCTGTGTGCTGGAAACCCAAAGAATCTAGTCAAGGGCTTGGAGCCTGGGGCAGTGTCCCCAGGGCACTGTCCCAGCAAGTCTGAATCAAGGATCTGTACTGGAAAGGCCCCAGGGCCAGTGTGGAAGCTAGAAAGTCTGTGCCTCTGGGCCAAAGATCAGTGCAGGAGGTCTGAGTGATCTGCATTTAAAGCCAGGAGATGACTTCCAAGATGAAGATGAGGGTTAAAACTCTTCAGAAGGAAGACAGCAGCCAAAGGTCTGTTGAAGAAAAACCACCTGAAAGCAGCTTCTTGAGGAAAATTAGCAACAAATAATCTTCCCTTCCTGTTTTCTTTTTATGCCATTCCAGTAACAATCCTCAGGTTGGGCTTTCATGCCCAGAATCACATGGATTCAGTTCAGCTATGAATGATATTTTATTTTTAATTTCATTTTCTAATTGTTTCCTGCTGGTTTATAGGAAAACAACTGAGGTTTTTTTTTTTTTTTTTTTTTTAATTGAGACAGCGTCTTGCTATGTAGTTCAGGCTGGCCTTAAACTCACTAGGTAGCCCAGGCTGGCTTCAAACTTGCAGCGATCCTCCTGCCTCAGCCTAGCTAGTGCTGGAATTACAGACTGCACCACCATGCCCAGCTCCATTTTCCAATCTTAATGACAAATATACTTACTTAAAGTAACTCTCCAATCCTCATAACAACTTCTCTAAACTTTTGTATTTACTAATGATCTTAATGTTTGATCCATGATATTTATCTATGACTCTCATGGCATATAATGATATTTTGAGAATATTACTGCATTCCCTGATACGTAGATATTGCATATGTTCAACACTGGAAGGCAATTTTATAATTTGTTTCATTGTCTCTGGATCATTGATACTGTACATTGTTGCAAGCCTCTTCCTGAGACAATATTTATACTATTCTCCATTATGGTGGGACAATATTTGAGAAGTATCCCACACTTTGATAGCAAGACTGGAAGACATCATGCAAAACTCCCCTGATACTAACCGTCAAGAATAGTTGTTAGGAAAAAGAGACTATTTTTATACTTTTCCCTAGAAAAGTATCCATAAATGTCACAGAACACTTGAGAAATGATTTATACTAAGCACTGGACACTGAAGCGGATTCAGAGAGGACTGGGATTCCATAATGATGTGCTGCCCAGCAGTCTCCACCAGTGACCAGTCCAGTGGAAGTCACTCATCAGAGGTCTGAAATTGCGGCTATTTGCCTGCTTCTGGGTGTCCACGTCAGCAGAATGCTCACTCCATCTTCAAACAGCCACAGGTACATGACTAATCTCCTGAAGAGACCCAGTACTCCCAAGTATTTTCTAAATTTTAAGGAGAGCGCCACTAAAAGAACAAACTGACAGTATATTTTGTTGGAAAACAGCTGAATATAGGTCAAGTTACCATGAACCTAAGTTATGTACGGTGAATAAAACCCTGCACAAGTCAAAACCAGTTTCTGTAATCTCTGTCCTTCAAAGTTGGCTCAGTAAATCCCCTGAGGAACTGCATATCTCAGAATTTCCTTCTAATTACTTCATTGTTTTGTTTTTCACCTTTGGTTTAAATCAGGTGAAACCTAAGATTACTTTTCATCGACCTTAAATGTGATCAGTATCCATCTCGACTTACAAAGACAGGAAGGTCCCTGCATGTGAGCCAACATATATATTTTTATTTTGTTCAGTGTTCTATCATACTGAAAAATAATTCCAAGATGGTAAATGAGTAGTCAAGAATACTTAATATTTCCTATGTTCTTTCCCTGGTTGTAATTTCCTTTTATTTGACTTTCTGGGAAGTTGTCATAACTCTGATCAAAGAATAACTTGCTTTTTTATTTATGGCAATCTGAAAATTACAGTCCTTTCAAGACAAGCATGATTTTTAATGATAATAAAAGGGAAACAAGGAAAATAGAAACAACTTATACACAATGAAGTTGATGTGCTCCCAAAGTCAAGCACCTTGCACTATTGGCATCTATTTGCCATTAATATGACTCAGATTTGCCCTTCAAACAAGTAAACATGACATTAAAGTTAGTGCTTGAAAGTTGAGAGCCTTCTGTTATTTTATCCTTTAGTGCAGACCTTAGTTCTGTACTGTTTGTTCTCCCTGGGGTACATATCTCAGACCTGCAGAAAAGGTGTCTAGATGGTGGTGGCACCCTGGTATTGAGTCAGAATATCTTTGTGTCACTCTCTGGAGTTATGTTATGCATTTCCTTTTATTTGTTGTTATTAGGATATGTTTGTGATGCATAGTAATTATATTTATCTTGGGGGAACTGGTGCATATACACACTGCATCTCTGTCATGTGTCCTTCCTTCACTTGTTCTCTCTCCCTCTCCCTAACCCTAGATCCCCCTCCATCTCCAAAAAGTCTACTACTCTGTTTATTTTTCTATTTAAAATTATTTATATTTTGGGTTTCTCTTATAAGAAAAGCAGTGTTATATTTAACCGTCTATGTCTGATTTAGTTCACTTAGCATTACGCCATCAAAGTCCATGCATTTTCCTAAAAATGACTCAAAGTTATCATTTTTGTGGCTGAGTAATACTCCACTATGTGGACCCCTCCCCTCCTCCCCCCTTCCCCTGTTGGAGCTGAGCTGCACCTCAGACAGCGTCGGAAACTCTGGTGAGCTGCTGCTGCCCCCACACACGAGCTCCGGAGCCAGGCAAAAGCCCGGAGGGCTTTAAGGTTATGGGGGTCCACTCCCCTTCCCTCCCCTCCCCTCTTCCCCCATGGGAGCTGAGCTGCACCTGGGATCGCTTTGGGACCTCTGGTGAGCTGCAGTGGCCCCCACACATGAGCTTGGGGTCAGGCAGAAATCTGGACAGCTTTAGGGGCCTGGGGTCCACTCCCCACCCCTTCCCTCCTCCTCCCTTCCCCCGTGAGAGCTGAGCTGCAGCTCGGAAAGCTTCAGGAACTCCAGTGAGCTGGCCCAATCTCTGCCCCATCAGCTCGGGAGCCAAGGAGAGCCCCAGACAACCTAAAAACGGGGTTAACTAGATACAAATCAAAAGCTGCCGGGAAACCCAAGGCTAAGTAGAGCTACTCAGAGGTCACACAGAGGCAAACCTGAACAA